TTTGTGTGCAATTATAAAATGCTCAAACCAACCTTAAAAGTATAATTTTGAACTGAAGCAAAAGGCTTTTAGAGCCATTGCAATCCACAAAGCACCATCATAACAAACAGTATAACTTGTTAACCAACTTTTGAAATCACCATTAACTCAAACTCAACCATCTGTAGAATGTGTTATTGAGACTTCCTTTTGGTCAACTTTCAAGATCTATATTAACTCAAATTCACTCCATTCTTCTTTTATATCCTTTTTATCCCTTTATCTAAGGAAAAAAAAATTGAAACATTAGCTCCATTCAAATTTGTATTGTTTATTCTTGCTTTGCCATTAATGTTTGTTCTCACTCCACTATTATATTTGTTTAGCCTCATTATGTTGGGGTTAGGTGTTCCATTTAGACTTCCTATACACATTGTCATTGCATAATTCATATTGTTCATTCTTACTTTACTACTATATTTATTTTTCTTCACTATTAAACTTTTGTTTATCCCTTTTACCCCCTCTTCTGAAAAAAAAATTGGTTTGACATATTGGGGCAAAGACAGAAAAGTGAGAAAAAATGAGAAGAAAATATTGTGGAAGAAGAGAAATTAGATAAAAAAAGTAGTAAAAAGAAACTTTCAATAACTATTAGAGTGGAAATGGAGAAATAAAAAATAGATAATATGCTTAAAATTTGGAAAATAAAGAACCTTATATTATAAAATACTTCAACCATCATAAAATAAATAAGTGATTCACACCCCTTAACGTCCTCAATACATAACTCAATAACTAAGACAGAAAAATAAATAAAAATATTATCAAGGGAATATATAAACTTTAGTTTGATATTATGTAAATTCAAGAAATATCTTAAAACCTTTAATTTTTTGAAAAAACACCTTTACCCAATTGAAAATAAGAGTGTGCTTTTATTCATGAGCCTTTTCCCTCTATATTTATCTCTCAAACCATTCTTTTTTATTTTCTTCAACAATATTGATATTCTATATTTAAACTCTAATAAATTAAAATAATTTTCCTTGATTATTTACACAATGTGAGTGTTTAAGATACAGGAATAGGTATATTAATTAGTGTTTATCTTCAAGAATGGTGGCTTATATATTATAATGTTAAAATTAGTGTATTATTTAGATAGGGTAATATATGTATATACGAAGTTTATATATATATATCTCCATGGTCCTCCAGCCATAGCCACGCCCAAAGTGTGGGATGGGAGAGGAGAGTGATAATGGTCAGCAAGTAGTGCATTATGTAGTCTTGTTATTTGGGGTAAGAATATATAATTTAATAAAAATATTAGTCTTTGAATAAAAATATTCATTTCTAACTACAAAAATATGAATATAAATATAATCCAGTAAATAATTGGAAATAATATTAGTAATAAATAATAAAATATAAATATAATTGAAAAATAAGTATAAAGATGATTAGAGATGTACTTAATTTGTAAAGATAAAATATAAATTTCTATTATAGCTAAAGTGTTCATGAGAAAGTACCTATATTATTATAGTTTATTTTATAAATATTTAAATAAAGTACTTTCATCTCTCTTTCTATAATTTATAATGGTTTAAATATTTAAATTCAGTTGTATAGAAAAATGTCAAGAAATTAATTGATAATTAAAACAATCTATTGTAATGGAGAGAGAGAGTAAATATTCTCAGACTATAAACCTAATTACATTTACATATGTAAATGTATGTATATATCTAATCAAACCTCTAGAAGATAAATATATGTTAGATTTGTTTGCTAAATTGCCAAATATCATTCTAACATTTTAAATTTTAATAAGCAAAAAAAATGTATATAGAATTACAAGCTGTATTATAGTTCTTTAATACACTTCTCTTGGGTTAAGACCATAGAAGCTATATAGTCTAAAGAGTTATATTTTAGATTATATAATTTAAACAGTTCTAGATTATAAAATATTTAAATTCTTTGGATAAAGTGTTGTTCTTCAACACGTTTACCATGGTTTTAAACTATAAATTCATAATTATAATGTTTATTTCTGTTGAATGTCTAAAAAATTCTTTATACACAATATTTTTAAATTTATATCCAACTATAAACAATCAATATTCAGCAGAAAAAATCTGTTATGTAGATGAAGTCCATTAAATCCTAAAGGTCAATTCTGAATAATATAGCAATGTGAGAATTATACAATAAAAGTTTTTAATTAAAATCAAATATATTTAAATATTTATCAAGAAATTAATGAGAGTGCTTTTTATAATTGAATTTACCATGCCATGAAAGATAAAGAATAAAGTTAAAAGATTAAGTAAAGAACATATTTCTACAGGATACATTCTTTAGAGTTCTTTGATCTTTAATCTATGTTTAACTACTTATAAAAATATTTATAGCATATACATATGACCATGTTCAATGTAAGGAAAACAATTCTTGACCAGATTCGTTGTCAATGTATGCAGGGTCTTAGCTTTTCACCAGCATTACAAATTATCAAGGGTGATTAGAGCACTGAACCGTTACAACAGCTTGCCCTTCATAATTCTCGGTTTCTATAAAATCACAAATGGATAAGGCTCACAACTACCACGTGGCCTCATTGAGATTTGAGATGTCGAGGATGTCGACACTGGCCGTAGAGTCTGGCGATCGACGGCCCGGATCTCGCTTCACTGGCGGCCAGCAGGGGACACGTTTCGGTGGCTCGAGCGGGCACACCGGCACGAGACGGTTGGTGCCGGGCAGATTCCGACACGTGGCGACGCGGCGCCAAGAAGCCGCCCGCTCATGTCGGATAGATCCCCGTCAGCAGAGCTTTCCGAGGTGGCGGCTAGGTTCATTGGACGTGGACGAAACTTTTGCCGTGGTAGGCCCCGACGTGGCACGGATATCCGAGGCGGATGGATGCGAATATCTGCTGACGTGTTTCCGTACCTGGCCAATTTCTCGCTTCTCCCCGTGTGTGCGCTTCGAAATGACTTCATCGTGAAGAAACAAGATCGCCTGTGGGCGAGAGGAAATTTTCTTCCTCGTTTATATGTTCTTCGCCCGGAAAGAGAGAGAGATATAGACAGAGATAGCGATAGAGAGCTAGGGTTTGTGACATTGGGGGACGGATTCCTCGCGGAGATGAGGATCCGGCGCGATCAATCCCCATTCTAGGAGCATAGTATCGACCAGATCGACCGCGGCTTATTTTATTTCCCTTTGCGCTCCTCTCCTTTCTTGCCCAGTTTGATTTTGGGATTTTCGGTTCGATCGATATGACTGCGATGCTGGCGTACCAGAATGTGGGATCCAGCAGGGCGCGCAAGATGGAGCAGCCAAGAGAGGATTTTGCGATGTCGGCTCAGACATCTCAAGCAAAGAAGGCGGCCGTGGCGATCAAGCCGGCGACGGTAGTCTCGGCCTTCCATCTGGTCTCGCGAGCCAACAATCCGGTCGTGGAGGTCCGGGCCACGGAGGTGGCGTCGAGCGACAGCGGCGGCGATCACGGCAAGATCTACCAGAGCAGCGGCAGCGAGCACGAGCCCAGCTCCGTGTGCCTGGCAGCGATGGTGGACGAATTCATGGAAGAAGCAGCATTCGGCAAATGTAGGAGCAAGAATCCGTGCTCCTCCAAGGGCGATGAGCGCGGCAGCGATCTCGGCGGAGAGGTCCTGGATTACCTCAAGGTGTGTCATCGCTTTCGGAGTTTTCTTTCCTTCTGGACGGGCTGATCGATGGATCGTAATGCTTGTTCTTCCTTGCAGGGATTCACAGCATGCTCCAGCGAAGAAGAGCTGGCTCTCCTTTCAGACGTTACGGCGGCGGTTACCGTTGTGAAGAACAAAGCTATGGAGATTTGCAACGAGGGAATGGATTGCGCCAGTGGATGCGCCAAGCGAGCCACGCTAAGGTCCTTGCGATCCGCTGGCCACAACGCCGCCATTTGCAAGTCTCGCTGGGATCACGGTGGTGGATTTCCAGGCGGTGAGTTTTCCTCCACCACTTTCCATTCTCGATCATCAAGGAACTCATTGACTTTGTTTTCGTGTGTCCCAGGTGACTACGAATACATTGATGTTTTGATCGAGAGAAGCGATGGAAAACTCGAGAGACTGATCGTCGACATAGATTTCCGGGGCCAGTTCGAGATCGCCCGTCCCACGGATCGCTACACCGCCATCGTCCACGAGCTGCCAGCGATCTTCGTCGGCGGCGCCGAGAGGCTCCAGCAGATCGTAAACTTGATGTGCAATGGAGTGAAGGAGTCGCTCAAGAAGCGAGGAATGCCGCTGCCGCCGTGGAGGAAGCTCGAGTACATGAGAGCGAAGTGGCTCTCGGCCTACAAGAGAACCACCAATGAGTCCCCGCCTCGCCACGAGACGAGCGATGATAAGAGAGAGCTCCTCAACACGGCAATGTTGCGGGGCTCGAGATGGCACTCGCGCTTCACCAACGAGGTGGAGCTCCTAATGGTGGAAAGAAACGATACTTCTACGTCCACTGCTACTGCGATCACCATCACCGCCAACACCAGTGAGCTCCAACAATCGAATAAGAAGTTCACGGAACCTGGAAATTCATCGTTGCTACCGTCTCGAAGAGGCCGAGGTGGTAACGAGATTACGGCAGTGGCGACCGAGTGGAAGCCTCCAGCGGTCGGCAGCTCCCGGAAGGTCAAGCCGGCTGGAATGGCGGGACTGGCATCGGTGTTGATCGAGGCTGGCCTCTCGACGCTGGCGAGCGAGCAGCGAGCGAGCAGCAGGAAGCCGTGCATGGTGGCCGTCTCCTGAAAGCTCTCGGTAGAACAGTACGAGTTTACCTTACTGCTGTTGAGCTTACTTTGGTCATCATTGCTCCACGAGAACGACCGTAGTGATGACGGCACTGGAAAGGCCGGAAACGTATTCTTGTGAAGATCCAAAGTTTCTTCGGTGAGAAATCGTTCGGGACATTCGAGATCGAGCACGGGTAAGTTTGCTGTGAAAAGTTTGTAAGCCATCAAATGGACAAAATAGCTTTTTATAGTGAAATATAAATTTTTGCGATACCTCTCGTCAGCAGATAGGCTCCCACCAACAAGAACGAAACAAGGAAAAACAAAAGTTTTTCTCACCCGCTGAGCTAAGCCGCGAATCATGTGTCGTAGGCACCCGGGCCTGGACGATCGTCCGAGTATGGTTTAAAACGCTGCTCTGATCCAAACTTAAATGCCGAGGCGGATGAGTTTCTTGAGTTTGGCTGGTGACCCTGCGAAAAGAAAAAAGATATAAAACAAGAAAAGAACACGCAGCACTACGTACCAGTGACGATCGTACTCTGTAGTTCCCGGCTGGCCCAGGAGAAATCTCGCCAAAATGTGACTTATCGTGTTCTTTGGACAGGAAAACCTGCGCACAAGCACGAGTGAGGATGAGCTCCATCCCAAACAGAGTGGCTAGTCCACATGACAATGCAGGATGCAGGAATATAAGACAAAGAAAGAAAGATACAAAAGAGAGAAAGCTTTGCAAACCTTCTCTCGGTTCTGCCTGGTTGCAATTCCAATCGAGTAGGACGGCGAGTTCCCCTTCTTGGACTCGTGCTGCTTGCCTACCGAACTGAGGCAATCATAGCGTCCAGCTCCAGGAGTCGAACCTTCTGAAATAGGCCCCTCCTGAAGAAGAAGAACACACACAACGATAACTTGTTGATCACCCGAGTCTGCATTCTCCCCCATTCCCATCTTCTTTCTTTGTTTTTACTTCCGAGGAGACGTACTCTAAAGCGTCTCTCGTGGCCAAATCGAAACTTTGGAGCTGTGGAGTTTGCAGAATGGATCTGGCTGCCAATGGAGGATCTTTCGTCACATCTCACTGGACCTGGAGAGATAAATCTCGCCTGTGCATGCACAACCAGCCTCAGCACAGCCGCTTAGAAGAAACATCTCGGTATACCTTCTCTTCAATCTTATACGTCTGCTCCCTCGTAGCCTTTCCAAAGTCAGTCTTCTCTGGTGACTGCTTGGACGATACACACTGCAAATGAAAAAAAAGAAAAGACTCGACAGTTTCAATGGTGAACTCCACACTTGCAAACACACCTGATTTCCAAATGCCGTGACTTTATCCTCATAGGCTCCAGGACCAGGAACGCCTGTAGAGCGCCTTCCCTGTAGGAACCTGCGTGTTAGTTTGTAGCGGAGCCTTCACAGGAAAGAACTTGATTCGTAATACCTTCCACCGCTTATCCCGTCCAAAAGTCAAGCACGGTGCATTGCCATTGATAGATTCGACTTGCTTGCCGATAGACGATAGAGAATTGTAGATTGGTCCTGTTTAGAAGCTTGAGTTTTCGTAAGAAAAGAAAGACCGAGCTAGGAAAAACTAGAAGCTCTACCTGGGCTGTTGTTCCCCGGAATCAACTTATTGAGTTCCTTGTCAATGTATATCTGTCGAAACGCCGAAAGTTAGAAAGAAAAGATAGTCACACCAAGTAAGGAGGAAACCTTCTCCATGTTCACGCGATCGGAAGTTCCAAAGAGAGTGAATGGTCCAGTGAGCCTGTGCGACAGAACCTGGTAGAAAATTCAAAGCAAAAATCTCTAGAAGCCACAAGAACTAGAAAGATATTCTCACTTGTGGACCAAACGTGGATTTCTGGCTGTGCGTTGGAGACGAGGGAACGATCATGTCTATGTCGGGCATTGGTGAATCGCGAGGATCGTTGGAGTGCCCCATCATCGTAGACACTACGTCTTTCTCTTGCTGCTCCCTCTCTCTGCGATCGATGGATATTGGAGGGAGCTCGAGCGATCGATCGCGCAATGACACCAGCAGCGCCCAGCGTGGAAGATCACAAAATATTTACCGGATTGCCAAGGCCAAGAACGGCTCACTCGGAGAGCACGGATTTGCGACGCCGCAAGCTCCAACCCACCGGGCGATCCCCGCCCGAGCTCTCCCCGCTCGATCGCGATCGATTGCTCGCCGTCCCGGTCTTCGTGCTTTGAGGAGGCGCCAAGCCACCTGGGGAAATGCCACGTCAAAGCCCTAGATCCCTTCTAGGGTTTTGAGCAGGCTCTAGGGTTCTTGCGCGCGGCGGAGGGGGCGAGGAGGAGGATCGATCAGCAATGGTCCATGTCTGCGTCTACCGCAACTGTAAGTCTCGATTCGCGCTGGCAGTCGCCGGGATCATGGATTTGGTGGTGTCGCAGATGGGAAAACTTTCAAGAAGCCGCGGCGGCCATTCGAGAAGGAGCGCCTGGACGCGGAGCTCAAGCTGGTGGGCGAGTATGGGCTCCGGAACAAGCGAGAGCTGTGGCGCGTCCAGTATGTCTTGAGCCGGATCCGCAATGCGTCGCGACACTTGCTCACGCTGGACGAGAAGAACCCACGCCGGATCTTTGAGGGAGAGGCGCTGCTGCGGCGGATGCATCGCTATGGGCTGCTCGAGGAGGGGCAGAACAAGCTCGATTACGTCCTGGCTCTCACTGTGGAGAACTTCCTTGAGCGCCGGCTGCAAACTCTGGTCTTCAAGGCGGGCATGGCCAAGTCGATCCATCACGCTCGCGTTCTCGTCAGGCAAAGGCACATCAGGTCCATTCTCTCTTCGGTTCTTCGTTCTTTTGGTTTTTCGTTTGCTTTTTGGGATCTCTACCTGTGATCTATCTTCTTCTCTTTGCTTCCTTTGAGTACTTCTTTACCTTTGGTTTCTGGTTGGCTTTTGCTTCTTTTCCTTACTTCCTCGTTAGCTTTTGGGATCTTCTCCTGTGATCTATCTGACGAGAAGTTCTTCTCAGGGTCGGGAAGCAAATGGTGAATGTTCCATCGTTTCTGGTTCGTGTGGAATCTCAGAAGCACATCGATTTCGCACTGACAAGCCCGTTTGGAGGCGGCGGTCCAGGGCGTGTCAAGAGGAAGAACACGAAGGCCGCGTCTAAGAAGGCTGCAGGGGGTGGCGATGGAGACGAAGAAGAAGAGGAGTAACAATGTGAATCTTCTTTTAACTAAGAGTTTTGGTTTATCCTTTCTCGCAAATTAAATTTTCCAGTTGAGCTTCAACAGGGAAGTAGATTTTAAATATAGCTGGTTTGTCACCCACTATAAAGTTTTGGGTGCTTTTGTAAGTGGTTGGTACAATTAGAAAGTTTTTGGTTTGCTGGATCCAGCCAATGGCAGCTGTCCGATGGGAACCACGTCTTGCTGAAATTTATCACAATAAGGAGGAGTTGCTGAATTTTCTGGGCTGTGGCATTCAGCCAATCGCAAACGTCCAATGGGGGGGTTCTTTCTTTAACCATGTGTTTGTGAATAATCGCACTGATGTTTGCTCCTGGCCAATGGGAGGTAGCCAAACCGCGTGGGGCGGGAGAGGAAGGCACTGCAACACGTGTCACATGTAAAGTGTTGACCGTCAAGCGAAGAAAGTACCGTGAAGAATGCATCACCATCGCTGTTCCTGTTGGGTGATTGCTTGCCAGCTATCCAAGGATGCAACAGCGTGGAAAGCAGGGCTACCGATGGTGCGGCCGCGTGTTTTCTCCATTGCCGATTTTGGGGGAGTGAGCGACAGGATCATGCTTGACACCAAGGCATTCCAGAAGGCGAGGCAAGCTGGGAGGTGCAACTATCGGCTGACCGGATCAATCTCACGAGCCACATGACTCGCCACAATCCTTGCCTCCAAGGTAAGAGAAGAGTTCTAGCACAGAAGATAAAAAGCGATTTTTTTCTGGATTTCTTCACTAGGATCCTTAAGATTGGCCCATGCTTGATCCCTTGCCATCATATGGGCCAGGAAGGCTGATCTATTTCATCCGCAGATGCCTAGAAGTATCGTGGGAAGTGGGAAAAGGGTGTAATTTCTGAGTCGCAATGAGAGGCAAGGCAACCCATATGTATGGATTTCGGTATACAATCGGACCAGCCGGCACTAGAAAGTCCACCATGCCGCTGTGAGATACCTTTCTTAGGAAGGCTGCCACATAATTTTCCTTGATGCTCAAAGGCTCTGCAAGAATCTGGAAGCAACTCTATTATGGAGCCTTGTGCAAGAATTCCCTGCCATTGCCAGTCTTTCAACGATTTTTGAATGTGTGGCCTTTTTGATGCATTTGAAAGTAAGAGCTACGATTGTAGTGGACAATGGCAATGTAATTTCAATGAAGAGTGGTGCTATTGCTTTGTTAGCTGGCCTTATGAATGTTTGTAATGTAGTCTTTTGTGTTTCACTCTCTAATGAATAGAATAAAATGATCTACAATCCTAAAACCCACCCATTTTGTTGAGTTGATACATTATATATATCTTTGGTGGCATCACTAGATCAAAATCCAAAACTGGCAAAGATTTAAATTCTTTTTAACAGGTTGCAGAGTAAATATACTTTATGTGAATAACTTTATTTTTAATGCTTAACGAATAAAATAATCTGTGAGGCCGAAGTGTACAGCTATGATGCTATATACTAATATTAGTATAATAGGATTTTGGTAGCCATCAGATTAATTTCAATCTAAACCACTCGCTCTTGTATATAAGCTAGGATTTTTGGGCTAATTGATATGCACATTTTCTGTATTCCCTTTCTATATTCCAAGCACTCACAAATCAACTTTATCTAAAGTTATTATGTTTTATAAAGTATTATAATATTTGAATAGTTTATGTCAAAATTAACTTTTATAATGTAATTTAACAGTATTTACAAATATAATAAGAAAATTATATTCTGTACAGATGGCCTGTCTAAATATCATCAAAACATATAAAACTCAACAACAGGTAATGGTATATCAAATATGGGTTGACTTAGTTTTATGAATGTGTAAAACCATGAAAGTTTCAAGTGTTAATACAAAAATATTAAACAACTTTAACAATAAAAGTATATATTATATTTTTTATATATAACCTTAGCTATTTACAATCTAACTCATTATCAACAAAACTACGATAATGTATGCAATATTTGATTATATAGTAATATTTTAAAATCCTTTTACTAACTGCAAATATAGTTTATTAGTACATAATACTATGGAATATAATATTTGAATTTATAGTTTCTATAACATATATATTTATAAATAATTTTTTTTTATTGGATTTGGGTAGTAAGTTTCTAAAAATTTATTATTTTATATTCTAAGTAAAATATATAATTAATTAATGTTTTGCAGTGGGTGTTAAACCCATATAGGCGAAAAGAAATTAATTCATGAGATCCTCTTCTGGGATGTACTATCGACTGACTTTGATTTTTTGCAAAAGGTTTGAGTGTTAGCATACTTGCTAGGACCCAAAAAATGAAAATATTAATAATTTATATATAATATATTTCTAATAATAGAAAAATAATTTTAATTTTTCTCTTGTCAGGTAGTTTTCTAATTATATTCATATTTTCAAAGAATAATCTGTATATTATATTTTTGTTAATGAATATTTATTCTTACTTATACCTAGAAATATATTTTGTTCTAAATATTTATATTATCAAGTTTATAAGAATTGATTTTTGTATTCATTTAGCACTTTCTATGCATAATTCCCTTAATCAAAGTGGAATATAATATTTTTTATTTTGATACTATTCCAATTTAGTTTTTAATATATTAAAAAATCAAAACAATATTTTGCTAATTACACAGCATATGCTGGGCAAATACTAGTTTTTCTCAAGGGACAGGAGTAGTTGCAGAGAAGCCAATTACATATCAAGAAATGTGTCGTTGAAAGGGTTGATGAAGAACAGCTCCCACACCAAGGAAAGTGAGAGAAATGAGGTAGCTCTAAAGAAGAGCACTGTTGGAAGTCCAAGCCGGCCAAAGTTTGTGAAGCCATATTCGGATGCAGATGCCTGCAAAGTTTCTTCGTCAGCAGTAAGTCTGAAAGATTTAAGTTGCTGTTCTAACTTTTGTTTAGCAGAATTCAACGTTAGGAAACTCGAGCGTTGATCCCCAAAAACGCTCGACAGCGAAAGTGTCACTGTTGGAAAGGGCCATTCAAGATCTAAAACCTGGAGCATAAGGAAGTTATATATTTTGTGGTGATTTCTAACGTGGCTCTTTGTACTAGTGCGTCCAATTCCAGATGTTCTAGAGCCAAATGCCACCGGAAAAGTAAGGCGTTTGCCAAGGGAAATAAAGGCCAAAATAGCGAAAGTTGCTAGACTTGCGGTATGCAGTAAAGATATTTACGAACCGATTCTGAGTCCGTTGTGCTTTTGTAGGCGAGGCAAGGAAAAGTTCCTGACGAGCTTATCGATTGTTTCATGAGCATACTTGGTCATCTGATGCATTTGAAGACACTTAAGGTACTTTTCTCCACCCTGTTGTTTACTAGAATGATGTTTTTCTTCTTTACATCTGTAGAGAAATTTGAAGGAGATGGTCGAAATGGGCTTTAGTCGCTAAGCACGAAAAGGAACATCGTTTGTCGCATATGAAGCGTGCTTGACAGAAATTGTTCGCTCAAGGGTACAATCGATACAGGCAAAGGTATAATAATAAATGGGTTCATTAATTGTTGGAAAACTGTCAGGCTGAAGAAGGATTCTCCAACGACGTTCAAGGAGTTGGTGAAAAGAACTACAAAGGGGACCAAGCTACATATGATCTGGATATGCAAACTTTATGATCAGTACCTTGAGGTTTACTTGCTATTGCAACGTTTGAAGTGTTAAGTGTTATTCCTCTGTAGGGTGATTTTTTTTTAAATTTTATTTTTCCAGCTGGCTGATCTATGGCCTGAGGGCTGGATGGACAAGGACGGGATCAAGAATGCTGTTTACAGAGTGAAAGAAAGGAGAAAAGCTTTGCAGAAACAAGTAAGCGTTTTCTACTATGTACTTTTGCGTTGATTTACAGCACCATTTCGTGCAGAGTTTAAACGAATCGAGGAAGAAGTTTTCGGAGAGGATAGATTTAAATGAGAGACCAGAGGCGCCTTTGGCGTTGGCGCCAAACATTAACGGGACAATTTCCAACCGGGATTTACCTTCTAGTGCTGTTCAAGCTGGGAAGTCTGCTGTTATCCGGAAGCAAATGCAGCGTGGGTACCTGGACAAGCACGACGATTTCAAGGATAAGAAGCGGGTGGAGGAGTCCATCGATACCGATCCGAGCACGTTGGCTTTTCTCAAGTTCAAGAAACAGATCAAGCCTGTGGGAACTGGGGAGCTCGTGTTTGACGCCAGTTATCAGGGGCTTCGATCGGTGGAGTCGGTCTTTCTAGACAGACCGTAGGTGTAAGATAAGCAGGATTTGGAAAGTTAGATAGCGAAGGACAGCTGGATTCTTCGGATTTTTTGTTCTCTTAAAGTTTGGAAGGGTGGAGAAGGGAAGCACGTAATTGCTATTAGATGGGCCAGAGCATTCGGACCGCACGAGCAACGACTCAGCTGCTCCAAAATTTGTCGTCTGGTAAGATATTCTTCTCTTTCATCTTTCGTATCCAGTAGATTACGGACTTTTCACTGTTCCTGTAACTGAGGAAGCCGTGTTCTTTGCTCTTGTTCATGCAGCTGACTACCTGGAACGGGAAGTTGAGGCACAAATCGACAGCCCACCACGTCTCGTCCTGTACTGCCGTCTCGAGAAGGCCGTTCTCGACAACGATCTGCTCCCACACGTTTTTCTTATTCTTCAGAAGCTGATCGAGACTGACTGGCTTTCCATCGTACACCGGACACTCAAGCTTGAACTCCCGAGCCATGACAGCCCAGAGCCTCTCCCAGCTCGTGCAGTCTCCGTCGGCAACGTTAAACGCCTCATTCTTGGCTCTTGGATTCGTCGCAGCCCACAGCTCCTGCTCCGCAACAAGGTCGGCATCCGAAACGTTCGTAAGCGTCTCCCACGACTGCCGGTTTCCTGGAAAATTAAAGCTGAGCTTCTGGTGTTTGCAAATAGCAGCATATATGGCCAAGCTGCCAAGAACGTTGGCGTGGTTCCGAGGAGCAAAGCCGAAGATTATGTTAGGCCGGTGGACGGACCACGTTATGCCCGACGACGGCGAGCATGCCTCGAACAAGATATCCTCCAGATCGTAGTAGAAGTTTGGAAGGCCGGGGACTCGGGGCAGGTCCTCGTGGAATGGAGGCCGATAGTGCTTGATGGTGCCGAAGTGAAAATACGGTCCCAGGTAGTGCTTGACACCGGTTTGGAGGCAGACGTGCTTGAGTCTCTTGGCAACTGGTAGCAGCGTTTGGAGGACAGATCGCAGCATGAAACCATTGGCCTCGCAGTTCTCCTCCTCGGTGCTCTTCTTTTCCCAGGCAACCCAGAATACATGAGTCACTCCGTCGAGGCTGGAGATCTTGGGTGTGACTTCGGACAGATTCAGCAGGTTACACTGGATATAGTCGACGTCCAGGTGCTCGAACCAGCGGGGCCTGGGCCGGCGAGCGATGCCGCGGATTCTCCAGGGGGCTCCGGGTGCGTCGGGACGCTGCAAAGCTTCGACCAGGCTATTGCCAACTATGCCGGTCACTCCAACAATGAGAGCTTCGTTGTGACCATCGTGTTTGCTGGCGGCCTCCGGGGGCTCTGTTCTAGAGCAGCAGAGAGGAAGCAGTGAGCACATATTTACCTTTGCGAGAGCTGGGCGCGGCCAAGTCTCAAACAGTAAACCTTTTAAATGACTCCCCCGGCCGGAGAGATTCCAATTTCCACGTTTCGACTGTTCAAATAGCTAGAACAGAGGTATCATGAAAGTGATAATGTGGATATAACAAACAACGGTTAAAGCTTTGAGTGTAGCTTTGACAAGGCTCTTCTCCTCGAGCTCCTGGGTTCAAATCCTATGGGCGCCAAAGGAGAATATAATAATAGTATGGTTGAGCTTTGTTTGAAATGCATTCCACGTGATATGGCCAAAGTTCAATTTATATTTATCTATAATAATAGCTGAACTTTCTAGGCTGCTGGATCCAGCCAATGGCAGCTGTCCAATGGGGGTATTTCTTTAACCACGTTTTGCTGAAATTTATTACAATAAGGAGTTGCCAAATTTCTGGGTTGCCGGATTAAGCCAATCACAAGGGTAACTGTAAAAAAGTTACTTCTTTAACCACATGTTTGCATTGACGTTTGCTCTCGGGAGGAGAAAAAGGCACTATGACACATGTCACATGCAAAGTGTTAACTGTTGAGTGAAGAAAGCATTGTGAAGAATGCATCACCATCGCTGTTCCTGTTGGGTGATTGCTTGCTAGCTATCTAGGGATGCAACAGCGTGGAGAGCAGGCTGGTCCCAGGGCTACTGATGGCGTGGCCGCGCATTTTCTCCATTTCTGATTTTGGGGGAGTGAGTGACGGGATCATGCTTAACACCAAGGCGTTCTAAAAGGCAATTGAAGGCAATCAATCACATTGGCAGCTTTGGCAAGCTGGGAGGCATGATGATCAACTCACCAAATCAATCTCACAAGCCACATGACTCTCTTCTTGGAACAGGACGCCACAATCCTTGCCTCCAAGGTAAGAGAAGAGTTTTAGCACGGAAGATAAAAAGTGATTTTTTTATGGATTTCTTCGCTAGGATCCTTAAGATTGGCCCATGCTCGATCCCTTGCCATCATATGGGCGAGGAAGGCTGATTGATTTCATCTGTGGATGCCCAGAAGTACTGTGGGAAGAGGGTGTAATTTCTGAGTTGCAATGAGAGGTGAGGCAACCCATATGTATGGATTTTGGTATACAATCGGACCAGCCAACACTAAAAAGTCTGCCATACCATTGTGAGATACCTTTCTCAGGAAGGCCACCACATGATTTTCCTTGATGCTCAAAGGCTCTGTGAGAATCTGGAAGCAACTTTGTTATGGAACCTTGTGCAAGAATTCCCCGCCATGGCCAGTGTTTCAACAATTTCTAAATGTGTGGCCTTTTTGATGCATTCGAAAGTAAGAGCTACAATTGTAGTGGACAGTGGCAACATAATTTCAATGAAGAATAGTACTGCTGCTTTGTTAGTTGGCCTTGTGAATGTCTGCAATTTAGTCTTTTTGCTTTGCTCTCCAGTCAATGGAACGAAGTGATCTGCAATCCCAAAACTCATTTTGTTGAGCTGATAAATTATGTATGTCTTTGGTGGCATCATTAGATCAAAATCCAAAACTGGCAAATATGTAAATTTTGTTTAACAGGTTGCCGAGTAAATATACTTTATTATTTTTATTTCTTAATGAATAAAATAATCAGCATTATCTAAACTTATTCTGTTTTATAAAGTATTATAATATTTGAATAGTTTAGGTCAAAATTAACTTTTATATTTAATTTTAACAGTATTTAAAAATATAATAAGAAAATAATATTCTGTACATATGGCTTATCTAAATATCATTAAAACATATAAAAATTAACAATAAGTAATGGTATATCAAATGTGGGTTCACTTAGTTTTATGAATGTGTAAGACCATGATTAAAGTTTCAAGTGTTAATACAAAAATATTTAACAACTTTAACAATAAGAGTATAAATTATATTTGTTACTATACTAGCTATTTACAATCTAACTTATTATCAACAAAACTATGATAATGTATTCAGTATTTTATTAAACTATAATATTTTAAAAATTTTTTACTAACTGCAAATATAGTTTATAATTTATAGTTTCTATAACATATATATTTAAAAATAATTATTTTTTGATTGGATTTGGGTAGTAATATATTAATGTTTCTAAAAACTTATTATTTTATATTCTAAGTAAAATATATAATTAATTAATGTCTTGCAGTGGGTGTTAAACCCATATATGCGAAAGGAAATTAATTCATGAGATCCCCTTCTGGGATGTACCATAGATTGATCTTGATTTTCTGAGAAGGGTTTGAGTATTAGTATACTTTTTAGGACCTAAAAAATGAAAAAAAATTTATATATAATATATTTCTAATAATAGAAAAATCATTTTTATATTTTTCTTTGTCAGGTATTTCTCTAAATATATTCATATTTCCAAAGAATAATTTGTATATTATATTTTTGTTAATGAATATTTATTCTTACTTATGCCTAGAAATATATTTTGTTCTAAATATTTATATTATCAAGTTTACAAGAATTGATTTTTGTATTCATCTAGCACTTTCTAGGCATAATTCCCTCAATCAAAGTGGAATACAATATTTATTATTTTAATACTATTCCAATTTAGTTTTTAATATATTAAAAAATCAAAACAATATTTTTCTAAGTACACAGCATATGCTGGGCAAATACTAATTTTTCTCAAGGGAAGTTGCAGGGAAGCCAATTACATATCGAAAAACATGTCGCTGAAAGGGTTGATGAAGAACAGCTCCCGCACCAACGAAAGCGAGAGAAATGAGGTAGCTCTAAGGAAGAGCACTGTTGGAAGTCCGAGCCGGCCAAAGTTTGTGAAGCCATATTCAGGTGCAGATGTCTGCGAAGTTTCTTCGTCAGCAGTAAGTCTGAAAGATTTAAGTTGGTGTTCTAACTTTTGCTTAGCAGAATTCAACGTTAGGAAACTCGAGCGTTGATCCTCATGTCACTTTTGGAAAGGGCCATTCAAGATCTAAAAGCTGGAGTTGCTCAGCGTAAGGAAGTTATATATTTGGTGATGATTTCTAACGTGGCTCTTTGTACTAGTGCATCCGATTCCAGATGTTCTAGAGCCAAATGCCACTGGAAAAGTAAGGCGTTTGCCAAGGGAAATAAAGGCCAAAATAGCGAAAGTTGCTAGACTTGCGGTATGCAGTAAAGATATTTACGAACCGATTCTGAGTCCGTTGTGCTTTTGTAGGCGAGGCAAGGAAAAGTTCCTGACGAGCTTATCGATTGTTTGATGAGCATACTTGGTCATCTGATGCAGTTGAAGACACTGGTACTTTTCTCCACCCTGTTGTTTACTAGAATGTTGTTTTTCTTCTTTACATCTGTAGAGAAATTTGAAGGAGATGGCTTAGTCGCTAAGCAAGAAAAGGAACATCGTTTGTCGCATATGAAGCGTGACTTGACAGAAATTGTTCGCTCAAGGGTACAATCGATACAGGCAAAGGTATAATAATGTTATTAATTGTTGAAAAACTGTCAGGCTGAAGAAGGATTCTCCAACGACGTTCAAGGAGTTGGTGAAAAGAACTACAAATGGGACCAAGCTACAGAAGACTGGATCTGCGAACTCTATGATCAGTACCTAGGTTTACTTGCATTGCAACGTTTGAAGGTGTTAAGTGTTATTCCTCTGCAGGGAACTGATGAGTACTCAAAGTCGCAAGCTCTATATGGAGGTTTATTGTGTCCAAATTTCTCCACCCTACTATATTCTTGAATTTTTTTTTAATTTTATTTTTCCAGCTGGCTGATCTATGGCCTGAGGGCTGGATGGACAAGGACGGGATCAAGAATGCTGTTTACAGAGCGAAAGAAAGGAGAAAAGCTTTGCAGAAACAAGTAAGCGTTTTCTACTATGTACTTTTGCGTTGATTTACAGCACCGTTCCGTGCAGAGTTTAAACGAATCGGCCTTTGGCGTTGGCGCCAAACATTAACGGGACAATTTCCAACCGGGATTTACCTTCTAGTGCTGTTCAAGCTGGGAAGCCTGCTGTTATCTGGAAGCAAATGCAGCGCCTGGACAAGCACGACGATTTCAAGGATAAGAAGTGGGTGGAGGAGTCCATCGATACCGATCCGAGCACGTTGGCTTTACTCAAGTTCAAGAAGCAGACCAAGCCTGTGGGAACTTCGATCGGTGGAGTCAGTCTTTCTAGACAGACCGTCCTGATCCGTCACTTACAGGTGTAAGGTAAGCAGGATTTGGAAAGTTAGATAGCGAAGGACAGCTGGATTCTTCGGATTTTTTGTTCTCTTAAAGTTTGGAAGGGTGGAGAAGGGAAGCACGTAATTGCTATTAGATGGGCCAGAGCATTCGGACCGCACGAGCAACGACTCAGCTGCTCCAAAATTTGTCGTCTGGTAAGATATTCTTCTCTTTCATCTTTCGTATCCAGTAGATTACGGACTTTTCACTGTTCCTGTAAGCCGTGTTCTTTGCTCTTGTTCATGCAGCTGACTACCTGGAACGGGAAGTTGAGACACAAATCGACAGCCCACCACGTCTCGTCCTGTACTGCCGTCTCGAGAAGGCCGTTCTCGACAACGATCTGCTCCCACACGTTTTTCTTATTCTTCAGAAGCTGTTCGAGACTGACTGGCTTTCCATCGTACACCGGACACTCAAGCTTGAACTCCCGAGCCATGACAGCCCAAAGCCTCTCCCAGCTCGTGCAGTCTCCGTCGGCAACGTTAAACGCTTCATTCTTGGCGCTTGGATTCGTCGCAGCCCACAGCTCCTGCTCCGCAACAAGGTCGGCATCCGAAACGTTCGTAAGCGTCTCCCACGACTGCCGGTTTCCTGGAAAATTAAAGCTGAGCTTCTGGTGTTTGCAAATAGCAGCATATATGGCCAAGCTGCCAAGAACGTTGGCGTGGTTCCGAGGAGCAAAGCCGAAGATTATGTTAGGCCGGTGGACGGACCACGTTATGCCCGACGACGGCGAGCATGCCTCGAACAAGATATCCTCCAGAGTGTAGTAGAAGTTTGGAAGGCCGGGGACTCGGGGCAGGTCCTCGCGGAATGGAGGCCGATAGTGCTTGATGGTGCCGAAGTGAAAATACGGTCCCAGGTAGTGCTTGACACCGGTTTGGAGGCAGACGTGCTTGAGTCTCTTGGCAACTGGTAGCAGCGTTTGGAGGACAGATCGCAGCATGAAACCATTGGCCTCGCAGTTCTCCTCCTCGGTGCTCTTCTTTTCCCAGGCAACCCAGAATACATGAGTCACTCCGTCGAGGCTGGAGAGCTTGGGTGTGACTTCGGACAGATTCAGCAGGTTACACTGGATATAGTCGACGTCCGGGTGCTCGAACCAGCGGGGCCTGGGCCGGCGAGCGATGCCGCGGATTCTCCAGGGGGCTCCGGGTGCGTCGGGACGCTGCAAAGCTTCGACCAGGCTATTGCCAACTATGCCGGTCACTCCAACAATGAGAGCTTCGTTGTGACCATCGTGTTTGCTGGCGGCCTCCGGGGGCTCTGTTCTAGAGCAGCAGAGAGGAAGCAGTGAGCACATATTTACCTTTGCGAGAGCTGGGCGCGGCCAAGTCTCAAACAGTAAACCTTTTAAATGACTCCCCCGACCGGAGAGATTCCAATTTCCACGTTTCGACTGTTCAAATAGCTAGAACAGAGGTATCATGAAAGTGATAATGTGGATATAACAAACAATGGTTAAAGCTTTGAGTGTAGCTTTGACAAGGCTCTTCTCCTCGAGCTCTTGGGTTCAAATCCTATGGGCGCCAAAGGAGAACATAATAATAGTATGGTTGAGCTTTGTTTGAAATGCATTCCAAGTGATCTCAAACAAGCTGGCATCATTTGTCGATGGTATTGAGATAGGGGGAAGTGGCTTGCCACAAACTGTATGGAAGAAAATGGAGCAACTAAACTAAATCCCCTTTTGAATCTGATGGGCCACCAGTGAGAAAATGGCTCAATATGTTATCTTAGACTCCATTGACTTTGGATGGATCTTGACACTTTGCTTGACGAAAACAAGCAAATTTGAGCATGTTCCAAATAGTATATAAATAGATATTGCCTTGACTGATATACATTAATAATGGAAAATAGAAGTGCTAATGTGCCAATTACATCCAAGTTTGTGGTAAGTGATTTATATAGAAAATATTAAATATAAGTACTCTAAAAAAAATAATGATCAAAAAAGTTCCACTACTACCTCTCCATGGTCAACATGAATCTGACAATTGTGGTGGGAAATTACTACCTCTCCGGTCAACATGGATGGTGGGAATCTATCAGCTCATGGGACTGAAACATTGGCAATACAAAACAGGCCAGCACCACCCTGTTTTCAACATGGATCAGACAATTTGGGTGGGAATCTTTCAACTCATGGGCTGGTTGGTGTTCCATTAGGC